TGCCAAATGGAAAAGTCACTAGGTGGCCAACTGATGGTGGGGTCTCTGAACAGACTCAAGAGAGTCACCCTATAGGCCTGGGGTATCTCTTGGGCCCTCAATAAGGGCCAGGCACCAAGCACAGCCAGAGTAGGGGATGTCCGTGTCAGAGCTATCAGAAGCCACTGCCCCTAGATGCCTCAGTGCTCCCACAGTGACAAAGCCCAGGACACCTGGTGATAACTAGATGTCGATCCAAGGCTGCCCCAGTGATGAACAATTCCCACAGACTATTGTGAGGCCATATGCAATATAGTGAACTCTGTTTTTAGAATGATAAAATACAAGTGTACGTTCCGGCATTGCCATTTAATCTCTGTGTGACTTTGGGTGGGTCATGTCCTGTCTCTGGGCCTTCACAATTCAAATGAGGACAGTGATGTTTACCCTACCCATCCCATGGGCATGTTGTTGACAAAGAAGAGGTAGAGGATGGTTATTGGAGTCTCACATACTAGTAACTTGCCACTCAGCATGGCTCATGTTGTGCTTTCTTGTGGCTTAGGTAACACTGACGCTGAGTGAGCAAGGCCATGAGCACTGTTAAGGGAAAGAGTCATTACCTGGACCCTGTGTTTCTTTTGCCAAAGAGGAAGGAGAGGATTCTAAGTGAACAGCTGCTCATGATGCAGCCTCATGGGATCACCGTCCCTCCTCTCCCCAGAAGACAGAGGCAGCCAGTTTCCCTCCCTTTCCATGCTGAAGGCCCAGGGGTTGGGCCTCCCAGAACCCCTTGTCTCTGAGCAGATGAAGATAATCTTGGGTATCTGGGATGTCACGGAAAGGGTGAGACAAACCTATAAAAGCTTCCCATTCCTGGTCTGTCCCTTTCATATTCCAGCCAGAATGTCAAGGAACAGCAGCTCTAGGCTCAGAGACTCTAGCATCCAGCAGCGTGAGTCATCCTAAAAGCACAGACACTTTCAGTGTCCTTCTCCTTGTCACACCAACTTGAAATGGCTCTCCCAACATAAATAGAGATGTCTTTACTAAAAATGTTCTCCAAATGAAGTGACAAATACCAAGATAGCCATAAGGCTCCCTCATCTCCACCATCTAAGACCTGATGCTCACAGGCACCTACACCACACGTGGATGCCAAGTCGCCCCCACTCGTACGTTTGTTCCACAAACAAGTGTTGAGCACTTACTATCTGCCAAGCACTGTGCTGGGGGCTGGGCGACCAAGGCACAGCCCTTGGTTTCAGTGGTGCATCGTCTAGCAGAGAAGACAGACATAGAAACAAATCATCACAATATGGTAAACGTTATCACAAGGTCCTTTCAAAGTGCCACGGAGCCCTGCTCCAGGGAGAGCTTGAAACTGGGGATTAGGGAAGGCCTCAGGAGGTGGTGACATTTCAGCAGCATTCAAAAGGTAAGTGGGAGTCTCCCAAACAGAGAAGGGGACAGATTTATTCTAGGCTAAAGAAAAAGTAAAAGCCCAGGGTGGTAGACAGGCCAGGGGTGTGAGGAAAGCAGTGAGGAGTTGAGGGTGTTCGAGGACACGATGGAAAAGGAGGCTGGCAGGCCTGCTGAGGCTTGGCTGTCAGGGGAGGAAGTTGGGACTTGTCAGCAATGGAAAGCCAGAAGATTTTAGGATAGGATGAGAGAGGGTGGACAGATCAGATCTGTGGTTTAGAAAGAAGGCCAATGGCAGTTACAAGGACCAGCTGGAAGTGAGAAAATCTGTGGCCTGGAGACCAGCTCAGAGGGAGGGAAGCTGAGGTCATCCTATGTGTGACCAGGTCCTGAGTGAAGGCCTCAGGCACATCCTTCACTTTGCTCAGTGGTGACACCAACCTATGCCGTCTGCTGGCTCAGACATTCTCCAGCCAGAGGGGCAGGCTGCCTTTGTACGCACTGGGTGCAGGCCCGTTGCTGGATGTTCTACACCTGCCATTCCATTCCACTCCCCCGGTATGCTCAGAGGTAGGGATTATCATCCCATTTTACAGAGTAGTTATTTAGAGAAGGTCACACAACTGGCAAGTGGCACAGCCAGGCTGGTGTTACTCCAAAATCCATATTCTTTTAAATGCCCTATGTTTACCTGGGCTTTTAAAAACTCACAAGGCTGGCCAGGTGTGGTGGCTCATGGGAGCCACTCTAGCACTTTGGGAGGCCAAGGTGGGAGGATAGCTTGAGTCAGGAGTTCAAGACCAGCCTGAGCAAGAGCGAGACCCCCATGTCTACCAAAAATAGAAAAATTAGCCGGTCATCGTGGTGTGCACCTGTAGTCCAGCTACTCTGCAGGCTGAGGCAGGAGAATCCCTTGAGCCCAGGAGTTTGAGGCTGCAGTGAGCTATGGTGGGGCCACTGCCCTCTAGCCCAGGATGACAGAGTGAAAAAAAAAAAAAACAAAACCCACAAGGCAGGAGGGAGGGTGCTGGAGTACTAGGTTTTCAGAACTTACAGCAGTTTGTGTCAAACTCACAGTTTGACTAGGATAAAGGAATTTCCAAAAATCCTTGGCTTTTCTCTAATGAGGTATTTTATCATAGGAAATATCAAAAGAAGTTGCTGGGCTTCCCCACTCTCTCTTGAACACTTTCATTTCACGTTTCACTGTCGGGTGTTGGTTACTAATTTCCAGAATGCACAGTACTGGCTTGGCTGGTTCAGCAGGTCTCCTGTAAGGGCTCTGCTCACTTCAGCCCACTACCCCACCTCCATCCCTCAGACTCTTCCAGCACAATGAAATAGCTTTGGAAATATTTTAGAAGCTGGTATCACTGGCAGCAGGGTTTTTCTCTGGCTGCAACTCATTGCTGGACAAAGAGATGGGAGCTTTCTTCTCTAAGGCAGAAGCTACTGAGGAAGCAGCCAAGCACTCCCAACCACAGCGGAGGGAAAGGTTCTGTAAGTGCAGCATTTTCCACTCTTGGCTGCTAGGTTTGCAGAAGTTGGTGTCAGACAAGAGGCTGGCTCTTAAGGTCTGTTCATAGCCAGCAATGCGCTGAGCTTTCATACGCTGTTTCACTCTCATGAAGAAGTCAGGCGTAACAGGCAGTGCCAATCTCTCTCATCTTCTCTTGACAAAAATCACCTTGGGTCTTGTTCCTCCCCTCTAAATCCACAGGCATTTCCTGCTACAGCCGTGTATGCTCCAAAATGAAAGAAATAGGCAAGTGTCTCGAGGTTAAGAGGGTCGAAGGCTTTTGCAGACCTACCTCTGGGCCAGGCAGAAGCAATGGCAGAAAGCAGGAGAGTTCCGCAGGCTCCAGCAGCAAGCAGGTGGCAAGCCTAGGGCTTTCTGGGCTCCATGGTGGGAAGAGTTTGCAGGGCACAGACAAGGCCATACACAGAGGTCATAAAACAAAATTTATCTTTAATTTGTAAGTGTCAACAGCAGTACAAAAGATGGAGTGATGACAACTAGATTAGGGTAGAGAGGACAGTCTTGAGGTAAATGAGCATAAATAGGCAGTTCTTATAGACACTCCCCTGAGGGGCCTAAGCCCCATCATGGCATTTACATTATCACCCAAAGATGGCATGTTTAACATATCAGGAAAGCACCTTGTGCAAAAAGGAAAAAAAAAAAAAAGTAGCTAAGGTGCCAACATACACCAGGATAGATAAAGACAGTGTGTCTTTCAATTTTGTCTTTTCCCTTAATTATGAGGCAGAGGAGGGGAAGACTTTGAAAAGTACCACTGAAAGATTATTCAATGTTGAGTTTTATCTCACATCAATACTGCACAACGAAATCCAAGAAGTTTGTGTATGCAACAAAGCTAAGAACAATGATTCATTCCTTTAAATTTGAAGAGATTTTTTTTTTTATTTTTCCCATTTCTTTAATCCTTAGCAAACTTTTTTTTAAATTATTATCAAGAGGAGAGTGTGAGAAAGATGTGATGGCAACCCTTAAGGTCATTTAAAAACTTTACACTGGACTGTACAAGATTTTTTTTTGATAAACTATTTACATTTTCAGACTTTCAAACATATTCAAAGCAGCAATAGACACTAGTTTTTATGGTTTTTTTGTTTTTTCTAATTGCCCAAATAGTTACCAGCCATGGGCCAAGTAGGTACCTGCATTATACATAGAATTTCTACAAAGAAAATCTGCACTTAAAGGTTGCTGGAGGGTGTATGAAGGGCCCTTAGAGTCTTAAGGGCCACACCCACAGTGTTGCTATAGGAACCAAAGCACAGTACCTTGACAACAGAGTTGCAGTTGTCCCAACAGCCCGACACAAACTTTACACTTTGAAACAGCAGCCAGCATGTCAGTCCAGCATGTCAGTGAATTGTGCTGATTAAATTAACATAGAATACAATCTCACAATATACATCACAAACAAATTACAACGTTGGGAAATAAAAGAGTTACAGTAAGATAAGTTATGTAGTAACAGCTTATAAGCTTGTCTAAGGTAATAAAAATTTTACATGGCAAATACAACAATGAATGAACATAAATGCTAAGCATTCTAATTCGCTACAAGCTGGAGAATGGTACAATAAAGACTGTACTTTCAAAAAAGCAAAAACACATATGACAAAGGAAGACAAACGGAGAATGCACACGAGCAGATCCGCAATGTGCAGCATACAAACAGTTCAATATTTGCACATTCCCCATACTCCAAGAGCACCAGCACTGAGGCCTTACTTTATGCTTGTGGTTCTTCAGGAATAAGAAACTACTGAGCAAGATATGCCACTGAGTTGCCTTCAAGCTTTCATATTGCCACTGACACCCACTAGAAGAGTATCTGCACTAAGCATTACCTTCCTGCCCCTCCCTCCCACCCCGCCTCTGCCCCAGAGGTACCAGCATTCCGAATACTTGTTCATGAACTTGTGGAAAGCAGTCTGTTCCCAAAGGAAAAGATGGGATGGGGATGAAAAGGAAATGTGTTTGCATATCAATATTTTCAATGATACTAGCACAGGAGCACGCTCAATAGTATATGGCATCAGAAACAGAACATCATCGGCAGGAATAACAGATAGAAGTTGTTTATTAAGGAAGAAAACATGTCAGGAGCAGATGACTTACGGAAATGATGCAAGTGCTTTTGTAAAGGGGCAGATGAGGTCATACAACGTTATTATACTTTGAGAAGAGAGCTCAAGTGCCAGCTCGATCCTTAGATGAACATGCACAAAATTGGACAAGGCTACAGAAACGATCTTTGTCGTTTTCTCATTAAAAAGGAAGACTCAGTAATAATTTCAATACATTCCTTTAGCTGCATTTCTTTGCAGTTGTGGGCACTTGGTACAGGACTTCTCATAAGATTTAAAACTACTAAGTGATTCTTTTTGCTTTCCCAGATGAGTTGGTAGAGGTCAACTCTTTGCAAAATGAGTAAATTGAGAGAAGCAGCCTCAGCTGTGGTATTCAAGTGACCAGGCTGCTTTCCTTCTGAAGGTAGACGGGCTTCCCCCAAACAATCCCTGCTTTCAGCTAGCGCCTGTGCTCCTGGCTCAGGAGGGTGTGCTGCGAAGAAGTAGCCTAGCTTAAGGAAAAGAAAGCAGCCTTTAATTGCGGCCCTAGAGTGATCCCACCCTTTTCAAACACCCCTAGGCTTCTGTGGGGCTAATGTTCCGGGGAGGCCAGAATTTGACAAGCTCAATAGCACTGTGAACCCAAATCTGAATTTAGAACTTGGCCTGGGAGTTGGTGTCTGGACCCTGGCAAATCAAATCAGGCCTGAGAACAAGGCTGGAGAGTATCAAATACCAAATGAAGCAAACTGATGTGCTCCTGAAAGGTTGAGCTGGATACGTGTGAAAACAACAAAGCTTCCGTACCTTCCTGGAAAAAGACACTGCCTCACATCTGCCAATGAAATAGAGAAAATGACAGTCTGGCTGCTCGTGTCCGCAGACCAGCCTTTTCTTTCTCTCCCTCCCTTCCCTCTCTTTCTTCCTTCTTTCCTTTCTTTCTTTCCTTCCTATTCCATATGGCCCATTATTTTAGGAGAGGATCGTCTGCCAGTGTCCCTATTCTAAGTGACAAGGAAAACCCTGATGCTGTAATTTCTTTAACAAAGTGAAGGTAACATTTATATACTATGAAGTAGGGAGCATTGAAAAGAAGTTGCTCAACATTCTTTAACTGGCATGGCGGGACTTTTGTTAATGGCCAATCTCAGAGGCAGACTTTTTCCTTTACAATGGTATTCATGCTTTGTGCTATTAAATGGTCACAGAACTAGCTTAGAAGATTTATGTGGATTCACAAAGCAAATTGACTCTCTCCTAACTGTACTGGAAATTTAGTATGTTCAATTCATCAACTTTCTACAAGAAATAAAGGGAAAAGTCTGAGTCTGTGGACAGTGGGTTCTGAACTGCGTGAGAACCCCAGTGAAGCATTTTGCTGTCCCAGTGACAGGTCAAACACTGCTCTCTCACTGTAGCTGAAAATTCACTATCCCCATGAGGTACAGGGACTCATCAACATCTAGTTTGGACCAACATATATGGATAGAGAACAAAAAGGAAATACATAACTTATATCTCACTAAGTATTCATGAACCAAAAATAAATTCTATTTCTATGTTATATTTACACAATTAAAAAATCTAAAATGAGATGGTAAAGTCATAAAAACTTTGTTTAAGCCCCACTTAAAGTAAAATGAAGTGATCCCTATGATTGTCATTCTTAATTTCCATGGATATTTAGAGCCAAACTTGGCTAATAAATAGAATAAACTGCTTATATGCAAAATTTAGATTCAAATACAGCATCACTGCTTGATCCAATGAAAGAGATGTTTACAATCAGATCGTTCCTGAATAGCTTTTCATTTTTAAGAACATGGCTAGAAGTAACTGAACCCCAGTACTGAGGCAGAGCTGGAGCTAAAACAAAGTGTTCATACACACATGTATTTTGCATAAATAAATGAAATAACAAGACATAAAAATGACTCAAATCCGGCAACTGTGAGGCAAGCCCACACGAGTCGAAACAGATGACTTTTGTTCATGTAGTTTTCGTACAACAGTTTCACATTAGTCAGAAGTGATAAAAAATACCATTTATATCCAGTGCTTATAACACTTACGAAACAACATCTGTGAGTGTGTGTGTTTTTTGTTTTTTTTTTTCTTACTACGAGCAAAATCAAGTTTCAGTCCTAAAGAACAGTCCTTTGTTCTCCACCAGCCCAGAATATCATTTTGGCATGGTCATAAAAACAAACAAAATTAACCTACTATGCTAAATGTTTGCCTTTGTGCAAAATTAATTACATACAATACAAAGCTAGCCATACAACACTCTACCTATGCAACAAAATAAAAAAGGCGAGGGAGCGAAAGCAAAAGCCAAAGAGAAACAGAAAAAATACGAGAATGAACTGAGGAGGAGAGGTATATAATCAAAGAAATCAGTAAGACAATAATAAATACTTTTTTTTAGAAAAATGACCTCCTCCTCGTCTGAAATAAATGTACAAAAACAAAGTTCTAATCCCCAACCAATATTAAGAACAAAACATTCCTATCAGTACCTTAATCAGCTTATAGAGAGCACTCCAGCTAACAGCATGGGTGGTAATATCTTGGCTAGACCTATTTATTGCTATTAGGTATGGCCTTGAGCACTCTTTAAATAAATATGAAGGTACACTATTTTCTTCCAAGTGACAAAATGGCTCAAGAAATCTGATGGGGCTGGGTTCCTATGTCCTGGTGATGAGATTCTGGGTTGTCCCGTGAGGTGAACTGTCCCATTCACTGACATTCTCCCCTTGAGCCACTCTTGGTGAAACCCCCATAGGCAACCAGTCCTGGTTTCAGGAAGGTCAAAGTGGGATGGCAGAGCTCCCTGTGGTTAGGAGACGGGGAATGAAAGCTCACTGCCTCCCAGCCCAGCAGCACATCACCAGAGAAACCCTGGTGTGACTAGTGCAGTTCATCTTGTTCACACATAGGCATGTCCCCATGCAGCCACAGATACAGGAAGTCAGCCAGAGGAACTTGTCTGCCACCCCAGGAGCTATCTGTTCCCCAGAGTTAACAGTAGGAACATCCTATATAGGGAATGTATTTCCCACCCCCTTCTCCTTCCCTATGGTTTTCTTCCATTCTCTGGATTTATTATGACTATTTGCCTCTATGCTCTGAGGCTGTCATGTGGCCTCTTGCATCCTGGGGATTTTGCAAAGAACTCCCTGGATATGCCAGCTGGGACAAGGCAACTCAGTGTAAAGGTGCCAGCCCATGACAGCTTCACCGTAGGCTCATACATGGCCCACAAACCTTGGGCTTCAGGTTTGGCTGCAGGACTCTCCTGCCTGGCAGTCACCACTGCCGATCCTCACCGCTGAATGGAATTCAGGGGGAGATGCCACTGATGCAGACCCTACCACTCGTGCTGAACTGAATTAGGGGGAAATTCTGGCAAAATACTTGAGGTCACAATGAACCCTCAGGGGCATACTTGTTTACGTGTAAGACTACACACCTATATCCAAATACACAGCCCTGCAGCCAGATATACACTCATATTTAAAAACCATAATACAGGTATTTAATAGTATCATGGTTTCAGAAATGCTTCCAGATGCTCTGGGGCCATAAAATTACTATGTACATCTTTTGTATCTAGCAGGAGAAGGAGGTGAAAAGGGCTAAAAAGTTCTTTGGGGAAGGACGGTGAAAAACAAGAATTATTAAATTAATGCCACCAACAATTTTTTAAAAAATAAATAGTAAGTGGACCCTTGACATTCTGGAATGAATAAATTATTTAAGAGAAAATGTGTTAAGACTGAATGTCAGGGTTAAAGGCAAAGGGATAATGGATGTAGTGAGAGGTGGTCTCCTGCAGAGAAGACCACCGTGTCGGTATCTGGTGTGGTGATCGCTCTGGTGTGTGTATGTCATATCACGTCACACACTGATGGCACGTCAAGAGGCAAACACAATTGGGTACATGCACTGTGGCAACCTTGTTCATTCCTTACAATATCTTGTCTCCAGATTCCTGAGTACTTTACCATTTTCTGAAAAAAAAGTTGGTTTGCTATTTTATTTTCAGATGCCAAAGATTGTCTAAGACTTTGCAGTGTCTCCTTTAAGACTTCCAAAATATTAAGATTCAAAAGTTATGAAAAAGTTTGGCACATTCAAAGTTTAACTCTACACGTGGAAAAATGGAATTCCGAGGCCTTTTGAATATGCTCTACATGAAGCTGCACACACTGTGGACTTGTTCTGTTTCACGATATGAAATCCTCAGTTGTTTTCTAAAATAATTCAGAATAAAAACACATTCACAACCTGTAGGCCGGCACAGCATACCTGAGTGAGAATGTTTAACCCCATCTAAAACAGTAACTTAAACCTTTATCAACATCCAAAAGAAAAAAAAAGTAAGACAAAAATATAAGACTTGTAAGACAGCTATGGGTTGAGATAAGTTTTCAAGTCCTGGTGTCTCATATTTAATATGTCTTCACCTAAATTAAAAAACAACAACAACAACAACGACAAAAAACTCAAGTTCATGAAAAAAATCAGGGAAAACTTAATCTGTCTCACACTTTATGAAACAATTAAGACCATTCTGCTGATGTAATTGTGGAGCCACAAATGCATGCGGGCTCCTTAAGAACTTTTTGTTGGGGGTGGGGTGAAATGTCAGAGTATGTTAATTCAGCAAAGAAAAACTCCTCAGTTGGCACTGACAGCCTCTGGGGCCTCATTTTCACTGCTATAGTCTGATTTGGGGTCATCTTCATAGTCGTCATACATTTCCATTTCATCCTCTCCATTAATCATTTCATTTCCAGCTAGGCTTCCGCCGTCTGTCTTCATACCATAAGTGCTCTGGATGACAGGGAGGCTGGGCTCTGGGCTGGCTGAGGTGCTAGAGCAGTCAGATGTCATCTGAGGCGATGGTGTGGTAGTTGCCATAGTGATAGCACCAGGATACACAACACCTGTTCCTGTGGTGATTGGAATCTGAGGCTGTTGCCTGTATAGATTCAAAAATAAATAAATAAATAAGTAAAACAGAGGGGAATATCTATTTATAGGTTCTTCTATGTGGCATGGGAATTCATCTCCTACACCTTCCAAAGGGGGCCCCTATTTAACATTCTAAACAAGTAAAAACATGTGACAAAGGTGTTCCCTGGATGAATCCTGCAAATCTCCCTGATGTTGTGGTTGGGGGTTAAACAACATAATGGAGCAATTTACTGATGGTTTTACGACATAAAGACAGGCTTCTTTTAACAAGGCAAATATGGCAAAGCCTGGATAACACTTGGCATTAGGAACAAATGCTTTAGTCACACAAAGTCACGTGTGAGATCAATTTTTAAGATCTTTCGGAACATTTTTAAAAAAGACTAGTAGCATAAGACATTATAATGACACTATTAAGCAGGTTTCTATCATCTTCACCTAGGTTTGAGAACTGCACAGAGGAAAGACGAAAGGTGAGAAAGGACCTAGTATATCCCAAAGAATCAGATGTGGCAAAGCATTTATTTGTTGTCCTTGTAAATGTCTACTTATTTCTGTGGCTGAACTTACAGGGAAGGATCCTCATGAAAGGTTTATCTTGGATGTTATTATTCCTGAGGCCCTGGGCTGAAACTGGGGCTGGGACTGGAGCAGTCAAGAGTGAAGAGCAATGAAAGCTCTGCAACTTAACAGAATAACAGACACCAGACACGGTGCCTCACCCTATATTCCAGTGTGTGCCGAGGCCTGGGCACACCAGATCATTCTTTCACAATACTGCCCTGATTCAAATAAACTTAACAGATCTTTTGTGAAGGTCCGTCTCTCCCTCTGCAGGGAGATATGGCTACTCTGTCTCCCCACTTCACTTGTGGCGTTAAAACTGGTATACAAGAATTAAAGATTTACTTAACTCAGAGACTACGACTGAAACAATATTTTGTTATATGCAGTATTCATCAAGTATTTCTTAATCTTTTATGGACAGTAAATTACAGTTAAAATTTGCTTCAAAATGTCATTGTAACTGTCCTTTCTAAGCCTCAGTTTCCATATATTTATAAAAGCTGAGGTCAGGGAAGTTCTAGAAGGTCCTTCCACCTTTTTGTACTTATGGCTCACGTCAATCGTCACTTTGACAATTCTTATCGACCCTACACATTATCACTGAAACTTTCTATCTACCTCACTCTCACAGGAAAACACACTAAATCTATGAAGAAGTAGCTAGTTACCAGCTATTCTTTGACATGTCCATAAACAGCGTAATTTTCTCACAAAGATCTGCATGCCCTCCAGTCTAGTGGAAGGAAAAATTATGATAGAGATTGCCTAGAAACATGGTGTGTGATATCTGATCATGCTGTTTTTACCAACATCGTTCAATCACTATGAGGCAAAATGATTATTCTATAACCTTTCACTAATATAATGTATAAAATATTCTCGTACATATTACCTCATTCAATTAACACAAAAACCCCATTAGTTATTATTATTCTCAAATAAGATCTTGCTCCAGACCCTGGATTCAGTAACCAGAAGAGCCAAAATTTGAACCTAAGTTGTCGCCTGACTTGAATGACATCACTCTTTCCTTTATAGATATTCAATATACAGATACACTAAGCTCACTATATCTCATAAAAATTCCTGACTTCTATAGAGCCTGTCAGCACCCAGTTGACACTAAGCACCTGATATTGATCCAATTTTTATGACTTTCATGGTGAGTTTTTTTGATTGCCTGAAGGAAGTACATAACAGAGGAATCTAAACATATGTATAGAAACAGCTTATAAAATATTAGTTTCCTTCACATGGAACCAAATTCTAAAACAGTATCCTCCTTGCTTCCTAAGTTTTGAGCAAATTAACACATTAAATTTCATGCTAACCTTCCCAAGGCAGTGAATGCTTCATTAAATTTTTTTTACTGTATTTGGATAATTGCAATAAAAATATTTTGGCTTTAATCGCATTATGAGTGTAGACTGAAAACTTTTACTGCAATATTAACCCATTTTACAGATTCCCTAATTTGGCAAGTTGATCTATAATATTTAATATAAACTATGCATACCAACACAAATTATGAAATAGTAGATTTTCTTTCCACAAAGAATAGATGGTCATATTTGCAGTATTTTTTATCAGAATATATATATATCCATGGATCTATTAAATAAGTATAGATTGAGACCCTATTATGTGCTGGAACTAGATGTTTTCACATGATCTTATTTAATCTTCATAATAATCCTGAGAGGTAAGTCATACTTCCCCCCCTCTTTTATAGATGAAGTAACCAATTAAGGTTCAGAGAGTTCCAGTGGTTTGTCCAAGGCCACCCGTGTACCACAGTCAGGAGTTGAACCCTTTCTTATGTTACAAATTCTCTACTAGATATAAAGATTGGGGTGAGAGAGGCAAGCCTACACTATCAGAAAAATAGTTAGCAATTTGGTCTCCACATATTTAGCAGTATTTGGACATTAAGCTGGTGATGAGATGATAAAAATAAACAAGCAAATAAAACATCTGTACCATTTACTTTCTGGAATGAGACACATATGATATTCAAAAGCCTACTCCTGGGTGGTAGAGAGACAGATATCACCGCTTTAAGCTCCCAGCCAGTGCTAAAAGCGCTGGTAAAAACCCAGGCGTCACTCCCCACCTTGAGGAAATAAAGGTAGTCCAGCCTTGGTAAAGGTCCCACATTCACATACAACTGTTTCAGGTTGTACCTAAATTTAGAGTGAGAATTTATTCCTGCAGAGATGATTTTTGCCTCACCAAGGCCTTCTGAGAAGAAGGTTATATGGTATAATGCAAAGAGCTCAGGTTCTGGAGTCAGACAGACTTGGGTTTAAATCCCAGCCCCATCAATTGCTGGCTGGGTAATCTCGCAGGCTAATTAAGATGACTGACACTCCCTCTCCTCGTCTAAAAATTAGAATAATCACATTTACTTGACAGGACTGTCAAGAAGATTAAGTAAGAACATACATGTAAACATTACATATATAGAGTAGAAACTCAAATGTCAATTCCTTTTCTTTCCCCCTTTGGGAAGTTGGTATAAACCTCACAGAGAGCAAGCATGTTCTGGGTCTCAGAGGGCACCAAGGAAATGACAAGGTAACGGGCAGGACCCTCCATGAGTGCTGGCCCACAGGAACCATTTGGAATCAACAGCAACAACAGAGTGTAAAACAATACTCTGGTTTATAGCCTGACCAAGAGAGAATGTCCTCTCTACTATAGTAGATGCAGAGAAGGACATCCGAGATTAGAAAGTGTTAATGTCTTCTGAGAAATGTTTGAATAGGAAAAAATCCTGAAAGAACAACATTTGGTTCCATATAACCCTTTTTCTAACCCTAACTCCCTCCTTTTCCCAGTTCCTGAAATCTTTCCATCGTACCCTCTGGAATTCAATTGATAGTCCTTACTGTACCTTCTAGCTCTAACTGAAACTTTGGCTTTCTCCATGGGCTACAGCTCTCCCTACAGCCCTCTTAAGAATTGGCTGTTTGCTTTCCACACCCCTCACATTGATGGGCCCAGAGGTGGGGTAGCTCCCTCTTAGCCCCTCATTGCCTCTTCCAAGCTATTTTTTTATCCCTCCATCTTAAAAATCTCATCTTTGAATCTAATGTCCCCAGACTACGTCACCGACTTACACCCTTATCTACTTCCTGCCTGTTCATTCCCCCTCACTCCTTAAAGATGTTAGTTTCTGGCTTATTGCTGCTGTCCTTGAAACATTACCCCTGCCATGATTCTTGATAACTTTACTATCTATGTAGACGATCACTCCAACACCTGGCTCTCTCAGTTTGACCTCCCTCCACTGTGATAATCTGGACCTCTCCTATCTTAGCTACTCATTCTCTTATCATACAGCAGACTTTGTCATTTCCAACTGTCCCCCTCCATAATCTCAATTTTAAACATTCTACTCTTGACCACCACATTTTATCTTTCTAGTTTCCTCTCTCTAGTACCCTAGTTCACGATTCTACCCCCAACTTCCACCCAATGAGGAGCTACAATTTCTTGATCCTTCAACCTACTTTCACTGTCTTCACCCTTGTACTCTCACTTCCCTCTTTACCCAGTTTAAATTCTGTGGTTACTCACTCCTTTGCAGATACTCTCCACTCTCTAACACAGCAAAACTCTAACTTCAGTTAAATCTAACCCTCTGCTTATTCTGTTTAGCCATACAGACGAACACGGCTAGAGAAAACACATTACCATGCTTACTGGTCTCTAAATTTATGGGCATGAATGTCAGATTGGCCTCTGGTGCTGTTCAGCCATCATACTGCACATTTTCCTAGCCCACTCCTTCTGGTTTCCTAGACAATTATTTCCCACCTTCTCAATTCTCCTCAAATGTCCAACTTCTTCTCTCCCATTATCACTCTAACCTAATGACCTGGCTTTCCACTTCACGGAGAAATTATAAACAATCAGAAGAAACTTTCACAAGCTCCTACCATCACATTGACCAACCTCCTTGTATCTGGGCCCTGTTCTTTGCCTGCCCTCCTGTATTTTGAATCAATTCATAATCCAGTATAAGGCTAACCACTCTGCTTGTGCACTGAAACTATCTGTACTTGTTTATTATCTCTCCAGCAATTGTCTCTCTCATCTGCATCATCAACTTTTCCTCTCTCCTGGATCATTCCCACTAAACACACTATAATCACTCCTACCTTACAAACAAATAACAACAAGAACTCTCTCCTGGCTCACATCCCCCTCCAGCTCATGCCTATTTATCTAATCTCTAAAGTTAAACTCTTTGAAAGGCTGTCTTTCTCCATTTCTTCTACTCAAGTCTTTCTTAAATCCACTTCAAATCCACTTTCTTCAAATCCACTTCTTAAATCCACTCCTAATGCTCCATTGAAACACAGCTTATGAAGGTCGCACCGCCAATGTTCTCCACATTGTTAAATCAAGAAGGCAGTTCTTGGTCCTCGT